CTGACTTCGCTTTAGCTGAAAGACAGAATGTCGGGGAAATAACAACAGTAATAGTAGCTTCTGTTTATTGAGCACCACAACATCCCAGGCACTAGGCCAATATCTTTCCGTAAAATGTCTGCTTTGATCTTCACGAGGAAGATGCCATTTGTGTCCCTGTTTTAGAGCTGAGGTTTTGAGAGGTTACATAACTTGGCCAAGATCACACAGCAGTGGAGTCTGAATGAACCCAATTCTCTCTGATCCCAGAGCCAGGACGAGGCATCTCTGTTCGATCCCTTCGACAGGGAAGTGTTGAAGGAGGCAGAGAGAGCAGGGGCTGATTCCCCACCTGGGGCTACTGACCCCGGGCTGGCTTGACTGAACCATGCCTTAATGAGAGTCCCGTGCCCCGCCCTGCCCTGCCCCGTGGGGCCTCAGCCTCCTGCTCTGTGCATCCAGAAAGACAATCATCCCTACAGGACGGTATCAAGACAGTGCAAACTTTAAATCATCTTAAACTCAAACTCTGTAAAGTGTCCTTGACTCTTCAGAGGAAGGTTCCTTATCTGTATAGTATTACTACCTTTAGATGCATGATTTTCATATTTTACGATGATAACTTAAGAATCTCAATACAGAGGGAGTGGTATTTTTATAAGAGTCCTGAATTTTAAAAATCATAACCCAATGCCTGCTGACTGTCAGGCAAACCTCGGCTCATGCAAACACCTGAGGCCAGGTCTCCCTTTCCCGCTCCACATTATCTGCAGTAAAATATTCTGTAAATAATTTAACAGATAAATCTCCTGGCCTGTATTCCATGATCAAGTTTTCTTTAAAGTAATTCTGGAAAGACATTGACATATCACAGCCTAGCCAGACGCAAACAACAGATGGAATAAGGAGACAGATTGTTGCTCTAAGTAAAAGGGAAAATGGGACCACAATTGCGTGTTACGTTTCTTCAGGCAAAGGGAGTGTGACAAGGGCTCAGATTTCGTTTCTGTAAAAGAATAACGGGCAGGTCTGTCTCCCTTCTCAGCCCCACCCCTCCTCCCGATAGAGAACTAATCTGCAAGAACAGTACCAGTTCTCTCCAACAGAAGCATATCTGGACGGAGTTAAAATAAAAGCAACAGAATTATCCCCACGAGTGGCACATAGCACTTTTCAAAGTGCTTTGGAGTCCATCAGATTCTTACAAAATCCCTGGGAGCTAAACAGGCAGGTAAAATAATGTTCCCCATTTTTCAGATGCGAAACACAGAGCTGTGTGGCTCACCCAGGACTTCTACCTTGAAGTCCAACGCTCCTCCACGGTAATAACAGCCAACACTGACATAGCACTCTTCCTGCTGTAACAATAATGGCAGACTTATTACTATAAACACCTTCTATGTGCCAAGTACTGTGCTTTTAAGTGCATTACTTATTTAAACTCGTTCAATTCTTACAACCCTATTTTACAGATAAGAACATTGAGCACAGAGAGATTAAGCCACTTGCCCAAGGTCACACAGCTTGGAAGTGGTGGAGCCAGGATTTGAATCCAGATGGTTTGGCTCCAGAGTCTGTGCTTTTGGGCTCCACTTCATGCTGCTTCACCATACAGTGGAATCAGTCCCCTATGGTCTCTGCCATCTTGCTGCTATGCTCCAAGTAACTGAAGACTTGGATATTTATGAATAATGTGGCAAAGAAGCCTAGATCTGATGCCCAGAATAGCACCTGGCACAGAAGAGGCAGTCCATAAATATTTGTTGAATGTATGAAAAATAGATTATTCCCGTTTAGTCTGGTAGCCACCTCTGCAAACTGAGGGAGGCATGCTCACTCTTGGAGCTCTCGCATGTGCCACATTTGCTACAGTGTCTTTAAATCCCCCCTTCCATTTCCCCATCCTAGCAACAGTATAAGCCCTGTTGCTTACTGGATTCCAAGGGACCTGTTGTGTCAACAGGCGTCACTGAAAAACAGCACGCATTTCTAAAGTTACCCTGTACAATTCCAAATAGCAGCCTGGAAAAACAGTCTGTCCTCATGTGACAGACTGACTTGTCCAGTTGCTTCTCCAAGTCTTTCCTCTGCTGCCATTGCTTGAGTAAACAAACAGCCTGTCTTTGGTTCTGGAATACTCGGAGCCCTGGGTATATTTTAAAACAATCTTTAAACAGTTACAGCAATTTTCCAGTCCTGAAAAATCCACTTTATAAAGAGCTAAAGCATTTCCCCATTAAAAAAAGAAATTCCACTGACCTTACCTCTTAATTGTGCTCCATCTCTCTAGAC